GTACTTTTTAACCACACTTTGTTCTACAGTTGTTGACCCCGACATGGATCAACAGCAGAAACATGGAGAATTTAAACATTCAGAATTTTAATGGCCCATTGTTCGAATACTATTGAAACTGAGCCCAGATTCAATTAAGATTGTACAAAAATCCTTTTAAAGTGCTACCTTAGTTGCCCAGTGGACAAACTTGGCATCCGCGATTTTTATCTGAATTGGAGAACATTAACCTCACTGCAGTGGGATTTATTTCCTTAAGGGATTGCCCTCACGCTCATTTCATTATTTGTACTATATATGTCTAAGCTTTAAGATAAGGCAATGTTGATTGGTAGGGCACAGCTACATGAGAGCTTAAAGTTGATTTCAGAATCAAGATCCAGGAAATTCTGAAAATGATAGTGCTGAAAAGGAGGGTGTTTTCAGCCCCTGTACTTGCTGTATAAAATGAGCATTAAGGAGTCACTAATTTCTGCAATCCGTATTTAAATACCCATTTGCCACACCATTTTTAACAGGGTAGGCAACCTGTGATCCCTAGAATTGGCCTAGAATTCCCTGAAACTCTAACCACAGTGTTGAACAACCAGGCTGGAAACAAATGTAGTCTACCCTAAAATAGAAACAGCCATGTACAACTCTGCCCACATCACATGCATGATAATGGATCTACTTACTTTAGGCCCTGAGACCTCTCCTCAGATATTAAATGTTGCCTCTGATCATCCTACTTTACCCATTCCTATGTGGACTATGTTTAGGTAGCTTTTCAGTTCTATTTTAAGAACTTTAAATTCCATGTTTGTGTTGAATCACACTGGGAATCTTAAAAGATTGTATATTTTTCAGCTTGATGCTAGGGATGACTGGCAAACCTTCATAGTTGCTGCATTTTGTGAAGAGCTGGTATAGAGGTAGTTTAGCGTATTGATAAGATGCTGGACTAGAAAGCAGAAGACTGGTTTCCAGGCCTTCTGGGGCATAAAAGTTGGCTGGGTGACTTTGGGCCAGTTACACTCTCTCAACTCAACCCTTTTCACAGAATGGTTGTTGTGGGGAAAATAAGAGGTGGTGGCATTGTGGATGCTGCCTGGAGATGTACAAAATAAAGGAAGGATATAAATCTAACAAGAATGACTTGTATGTATGTATATATTGCCCAATTTCCAAATGGGAACCAAAAGATACTTCAGCAGGTCACAGTGAAAGATTATTTTCTTTCCCCCAAAAGACCAGCAAAGTGAGAAATGGTGAGCAAGCAGCACGTAGAAACAGTATGTGTATGTATGTATGTATGTATGCATGCATGTATGTATATGCATATATGTATATATGTATATATGTATATATATGTATATGTATGCGTATGTGTATATATATATTAAGTATATATATATTCTTAAGTTTTCGCGGGTACTTACATGTATGGCATTCGGCTTTGTTCGGGTATTTTCCTACGTCATAGTAGTTGTGCTTTTAAAGTTGTAGCGACATTTCAGCAGAATCTCATCGGCCATCATCAGGCTTCTGTATAGTGTTCATCTGTGAGTCAGGCTTTTATAGCGGTTTCAGATTTAAATTTGGGGCAGCCTATTGCTGTACCAGAATGGTTTTTTCTTCACCCTGATTGGTTGGGAGTCTTGGTCTGTGTTTATTGGTCTTGGAGTTCGCTGTGTTCTGCTTGATTGGTGTTTCTAATATCTCCTGTCTGTTTTTTGGCTCTTTTTGTCTCTTGATTGGCTGGCAACATTGTGTTATTTTATTGGAGGCCTTTGGTGCAGCTTGGCTCCGGGTAAATGGACGGCTATTATTAGTTAGGAAGCTAGGTTTCATCTGGGTGCCTGGTTGGGGTGTGTTTGAGCTGGAGGTATCAGGGGGGATCTGTCTGTGCCCAGGTGTTTGCCTGGCTTGTGGTGTGGAGATTTTTTTGTTTGTGAGTGCAGGCTTCCAAATGATTGACAGTCTGGTGGAATCATCTCTTCTATTCATACTTTCTGGTCTTTTTTCAATCTTGAGAGATGAGATTCTGCTGAAACGTCGCTACAACTTTAAAAGCACAACTACTATGACATGGGAAAATACCCGAACAAAGCCGAATGCCACACACACACACACACACACACACACACACACACACACATATATATATGGCATTTGGCTTTGTTTGGGTATTTTCCCCCATACACACACACATACACACACACATACACACATACATACATACATACATACATACATACATACATATGCAGATAATTTTTCTCTGATTCTTTTTCAGGGTTCTTCTCTTCCCTGTGCCCCTTCCTCAACTCTGGCTAATAATGGGCTGTGAGAATAACCTTGAGAGACAGGAGGAAAAGCCATGGCCAAGTTAACCCTCTGATAAGAGAAATCTGAATCCAAAAGTGGGACGGGGGGAGAAAATATCTCAGAAGAGACCTGTCAGCCTCGCAAGGTGGACCAAACAGGAAACATGGCCAGATAAGCTAATTCTACTTTATTGTAAGGTTACATTAACAGAACCATGGAATTCTGAAAGGACATTTCTAACTCCCAGCCCAGGTTTTCTTTATAACTCAGGAAACTGAGTTATAGGGAGGATCTCTTCTGAGAGAGGATCCCTTCTGAGCCACTTGGCCTACCTCATTCCTTCTGCGGATTAAACTGCCTTTTATCTGATCATTCCCTTGGCTGTGTCTCTGTGCCCTGTTTCGTAAGGTCATTCCCACATACCATGACATCACCCTCCCTAGTTCTCCTGAAAGTAAAAGCAAGGGAAGGGGAAGTGCTTTCAGATCTGCGAGATTCTGTTAGTCTAAGTTACAAAAAAAGTACTGTTAGTATCCACGATTTTGGCTTCCTAGTTTGGATTATGGGATGGAATGGACCTTGGAGGCCTTCTAATCCAATTGCCTGCTCAAGCAGGAGATCTTATTCCATTTCAGACAAATGGCTGTCTGGTCTCTTCTTAAAAGCCTCCGGTGAGGGAGCAGGAGGTTGGATTAGCTTCTGAAGGCAAGCCGTTCCACCAATTAATTGCTCTCACTGTCAGGAAATTTCTCCTTAGTCGTAAATTGGACTTCTCCTTCGTAGGTTTCCATTGGCTGCTTCTTGTTCTGCCTTCAGGTGCCTTGGAGAATAAGTTGACCCACTCTTTGTAGCAGCCCCTTAGGTATGGAAAGACTACTAACGGTATCATGCAGTTCTTCTCTTCATTAGACGAGACATATCCTGCAGCCCTTCTTCATATGTTTCAGTCACCACTCTCCTAACCAGATAATAATAACTGGATAATATAATAATCAGATAAGACCTGCAGGGTGTCTATAAAGCCCACTCCCACCTCCATTTTAGTATATCCAAGCTCACACCCATATAATGAGCGGGGAAAAAAATGATTCTTCACAAATGACATTCAAATTATTTCTTTAATAAAATACCACATCAAATTATATAGAATAACATCTGAATAGGAAAGCATGGTCTGGATTTTGTCTGCACATCAAGAGGGATGTTGCAAAGATTCTGCAGCATGATTTCATGTTGTGCTTAAAAGCTGGGGTACAGCATTTTAATATTTTGCTTATGAGGACCTAAATAGACTCACTCTTTCTGAGTCACAATAAAGTTTCTTGCAACATGAACATTATTCTTCACGTTAGAAATGATGTTACAAATCTACAGAGACCACAAGAATAATCACAATGTTTGTTTATAGACCACTTAACAGAAAAAAAAGATTAACACTTGACTTTATGGTACATTAGAATTTATTCATGTTTTACCAATAGTAATGTTTTTTTCTTTGTTATATTGGATTGTGTGTATGTGCTTATTCCTAAACACTAATAAAATATTAATTGATCAGAGATATCATAAAAACGGAACTGGAAAGCTCTTGTTGACCATGAGGTCCAACCTTCTGCTGAGTTCAGGAGATCCAGAGCTACAGCATCCTTAAGTATTGGGCCAGCATATGTTTGAAAACCTCCAATTGAGGAGAAGCTGCTTTCTGTCTCCATAATTGATTTAGTTTTGAACTGCTTTTATCACTGAGGCATTTATCTTGATTTTTAAGCAAAGCCTACTTTCTTAAAGAATTATCTTTGAGGATTTGTTCACTGCCTTCTTTCAATATGGCTCATCCTGCGTTTGTACTGGCACAGTAAATTATGCTAAAATCTTTCCTGTCTTTAACTCAATACAAAGCACTCAAATGAAAGCCACATGGAATATATATTACAAATTCCCATTGAATTTCATTCTTCCCATCAGTTAACACTGAGATAAACTTGAATGACAAAACTTCACCCAGACTTGAATGTGGATAATTTATTCCAACGGCAAATTGTCATCAAGAGTCTGCTCTCCAGAGATTTGATCCTCAGAAGAAGCAATGGCAAAAACAGCAGCTTATAGGCAAATATGGTCCAAGGATTGTTTCAAGAAAGTAAGACAATGTTGGAAAACTTGTGGTTCAGGATAATCAGTCATTCCCACAGCCCCAGCCAATGTGGCAGAGAATCAAGAATGCTGCCATTGTCCTAGAGCCTCTGGTTTATGCAAAGGCTACCTTGGAATAGATTGAATGGACACCAGAGATAGCATGGGGGTCATGCCAACTAGCTATTCCTCCATTTATTTTCATGTAACTTTGAAATAACAACACATACACATAGTCACTGCATCAAGATCCTATGAACACTGATTATGTTGAATGTGCTTTGGGGAAACAGAAAGGAAACGGGCTCCTGTTACTGTTTTGTCCCCATATTTGTTTAATGTAATATCATATCTGTGCACTGTGTCAGTATTATATATAGTACGTATCACTTAACCTTGGCTTATTGAATACTTCATCATATGGCTTAGCATACTGCGGGAACCAGATCATTGTGACTTAGGAAACCATGAATAAGTAAATCATGCCTTAGAGTGATTTGTACATTTAACATTACTATTATTGTTGTCAGGCCTTGGTTTTGTAGACATAACCAAGCAGCTCACCAGTCATGAGGATTTTAGAGTTCAAAGAAATTATTTGGGATTATTTGACAAGCAGCAATTAAAATTCAAGGCTGCACCACAATTGATTAATCTCTTGGGGGGAAAAAATCAAACTCTTAGCACAGATGTACTTATTTAAAAGCTATTGCCAGAATGGCATTTGGTTCTTATGGGAACTGTCCAGCTCTGAGGAGTCAGATGTAATAGAAAAGCTATTCGTTAGAGCAAGTAATAGCTCTATCTAATTGCACATTTCAAATGGCAGCTCCTTTAAGGGCACTTTTTTGATCCATGGCAAACGGATATTTGTGACAGAAGACAGGCACATGAATAAACATTTCTTACCACTTATTTGGCCAAGGAGAACCGACACATTTCATTGATGGTGCAAAAGTGACATGAAATGTTACACAACATTTTGCTTTTCCATGTGAAAGATTTGTGTAGACCACATTTCAATCTGGAAGCCACTGCTTTGAAATGTTGATACCAGCAGTATCAACTGTGCCTGCAAATTCATTGCCAGACTGCTTAAATGGTTTTCTAGGACAGGGAAGTTACTACCACATAATGTATCTGGTAGGTTTATTTTCTGGCTTGAAAGATTAAAAACAACCAACTAAGATGGCAAATACTTCTTGTAAAAAACATGCTTCCATTTAAGAATGGCATTAAAGAAAATATGGAACAATCATTTGGAAAGTGTGCCTCACTGGGTTATGGGATGGCAATGGCAAACAGCAAAAGTACTGTATACTGTAGATGCTCGGTTCACCCCACAGGGGTTACCAACCGCTCAAGCAAAGTGCGACTTCTGAAAGCACCTAAATGCTGCAGAATAACTGGAACAGGTAGGACATCCTCCATCTTGTTTTCACAGATTTCCTCTGCCACCTTTTCCTAAGTCCCATCAGGAGAAGGTTCTATTCTCTGCAAGCAATGAGAGTATAACGTTATAAGAACTAATGAAACATAGCACACACAATAAATGCAGTATTTCTTTGAATGGAAATCTCCATTCTGTGAGGTGTGTATTCAGCATTATCAGCAACCACTGATAGTCTTATCCTATAGCACAGGGGTCTTCAAACTTGGCAACTTTTAAGACTTGTGGACTTCAGCTCCCAGAATTCCCTGCTCTAGCACGTCATACAATGTCTTAACTATATATATGTGTGTATGGTAT